TAAAATACTGCTTAGTTATCAAGTTAAAATTTCTTAGAAACATTTGTTTATCTTGCTGAATACTCATAAACCACGTTACTTGCAATCCAGTTCAACTGTATTCATGTTGATTTTCAGAAGATGCCCTGTAGTCCAGCTACTTAGGAGTCTGATATAGGAGGTTAGCTGAAACCCAGGGATTTGAGGCCAGCCTGGGCAACATAGCAAGACCTCATTTCAAAACAAACATAAAAGACCTCTGAAGGTGATACAGGGGTAAATGAAACCCCCAACCTGAAAGGTACCTGGGAAGAGTTTTTAGTGTTCTCTAAAACCAAAGAATGAATTTCAGGAATAAATGGAGGTTAGGAGTAGAATATACTGGGGGAAAGAAAGCTTCTGTCCAAGAAAGGGACAAAAGGGGAACCCCCGAGTGGGTTGTCCCCGGGAAGCTGTCTCTTCCTAGGACTTTTATAGAGTAAAACTATGAGGCGAGGTGGGTCTAAGGTAGTGGAGAACTCACTTAGGTGGTCATGAAGTGGGACAAAACTATGGTCAACCAATGAGATTACAAGCACCATTGCTCAGGTAAAATTGATTAAATCCAGTAACAAATGAGGAAACCAGTCATATAGCAAGCAGGCATGAATATGGGACAGGGTCTCTTCCTGTTGAGGATTGAGTTAATGACTCTTTTGGGCTCTTTCAAGGTGACTGATACTTATTTAGAATACCAATCCCTGATGCCCATCCCTAGGGAAGTATGTGGCTGTATTTGTTCACTCTTTTGTCTTGAGGTGGGGCGCACAGCAGGGTCTGTCTCTTCCAAAGTTGCAAAGTCACCTTGTCTTCCATCTTGTCTCCTTGAGGGCCTGGCCCTGTCTGACTGCCTATATTTCTATCTAATTTAGTTGCCTACAACAAAGGGATCTTTCAGTACGTCCAAGCCTGGAAGTCTGCCATGTGTGTGCATGAATGAGCAAATGAATGAAGTTACTACAACTGCACAGTGAAAGTATGAGGACAGATGTGGAAATCAGGGTTTGGGGCAGTATGTCAACTGCCCAAGGTCGTCCAATGAGTCCAGTCTCCATTTAGTTACGCCTTTTCCTAATGCAGAAAGAGGCAGTGAAGCATTGCTCAAATGCTTATGGAACAAGGACCATTTCCTGGCGCAATACTTCCTCCACAGTGCCCCTCTCCAAGATGATCAGAGAGACACACCTGAGGGGCCTTGAAGGAGCCAGGGCTGGGGACCATGCCTGCTGGGCTGTCCAACCTCCAGCCCTGCCTGTGCCACTCAGCCCTGCTTAGTGGCAAGTCCCTGCACCCCAGGCCCTAGGTTCCCCATCTGTGTGCAGAGAAAGGACTGACAGTTGTGGTTTTCAAAATGCCTTCAAAGCAGGGAAATCTTTTCCTTGAAAGAGGCAGCAAGAAAATCAATAGATGATGACAGCCTCTCCCTCCAGAGGGACCCACACAGTAGAAATTTCATGGGCTGGTCATCCTTAAAGGCCTTCTGCTTTGGTACCCTCTGGCGCTAGGAGATGTGTGCTCACAGACACTATGATTCTTAGAGACCACAGGGGAGGAGAGGTCCCCACTGGCAAGAATCCAGCTGGGAAGACAAAAAGCTGGGTTCAAATCCTAGTTTGTTCTCTTACTGGTCAAGGTGTGAGCTAGGGAAAGGGACTGAATCTTTGTAAGGGTATAAAATGAAGTGACAGTAACAGTCTTGGTCTATGGTTGGTAACATGAAGTACCCACCTCTATTCCTGGCATGCAATCGGAGCTTAATGATTGGTAATCATTACTATTAGGGGCACAGGCTTCCACTGAGCTCAAGGTCATTGCTTTCCTCTGCCAGCACATGTGCTGTATACTGAGCCCAACAGAGAAAGCAGGGCTGGGGCAGGACCTCAAGTCTCCCCACATTGCACTTCTGAGCAGCTTCTGGGACTGGAGCCACAACAACTGTGAAGGCTTTACAGGGTGTCAATTACTCCAGCAGCTCTGGACCATATTTGAAGCCGGGGATGAAAAGAGCCTGGCTCTTGAACAGTGATGAGGAGACTGAGACCTAGAAGAGGCAGGCACTGACCCCTTATGGTGGTCACTTTGGAGGCAGTTTGACTCCTATGAGGGAGCCACACCCACAAGTGCTGCCTGCCCTATGGGTGCAGACAGAAACTCCAGTTGGTAGCCTAGAACTTCAAGGCTGGGCTTGTGCTGCAGACTCACATAGGTCACTCAGAAGTCACTTCATAAGGACCTTAGAAGATCTAGATACTGAGCTAATGTTCCCAGTCTTATAGAGGAAAAACAAATAAAATGCATTGGACTATAAGGGAGCTAGGCCTGGACTAGGATTATGGAAGATTCCTGAGCACACGCAGGGCACCAAACTCTCTAACTTCTCTTCTGCCACCAGCCCCTTCCTTCTGAGGGTGGAGTCAGATACGTTCCCCCGAAACCTGCCCATCGCTTGATCTCTAGTCCTAGATCACTGTCATCTTCTACCAAGAGTCACACCTCTGATCCTTCCTAGTAAGGTGTCACCAAGGGTGCTTAAGGCAACCATCTTGAAAATCCTTTTCTCTAGCCTTCACCTCTGCCCTAGATGCCTGTGTCACTCTTGTCCATAATTGCAGATGTCTCCCCCATCTCCCACCTCCATTTTCTCTCCTTCTGATCCTCCCTCCATCCTAACACAACTCTGGTCCTGCCATATTCAATGGAACCCCAGGTCCCAGGAGTTAAAGCCCAAATTCCCATGACCCGATAGGATCAATCACTTTCTCCACGAGCCTTTCGTTAGTCTGACAGGAGATTTTTTCCCACCCCTCATCTGCAGGCTGGCCAGCTTGGATTACTTTCCATTTCTTACTAAAGCATTATGGTGCCTGTCTATCTCCAGACCAGTAAATCAATAAATTACTCAATTTATTAATTTAAAAAATTACTTTTTAGACAGAGTCTCATTATGCAGTCCTGGTTGGTCTTAAACTCACTATGGAGCCCTGGCTGGCCTCAAACTGAAGCAATCCTCCTGCCTCAGCCTCCCAAGTGTTTGGATTACAGGTGTGTGCCACCACACCTAGCCTCAATTATTATTATTATTATTATTATTATTATTATTAGTGTGTGTGTGTGTGTGTGTGTGTGTGGTGCCAGGGTGTTGGCAGGCAAGCACTCTACCAACTTTATGTATTCATTTTACAATTCAAATAAACACTCCTGAGAACAGTGCTCCATAGCACTAAGCCCACAGCTTGGTACAGGTGGAAGAGCTTGAATTGGACCTCAGTGCTACAGCACTGACCAAGCATGTATAAGGCCTTAGGTTGCGTCTCCAGCACCACAAGCAGGAAAAAAAGAAAGCAAAAAGGAAGAAAGGAAGGCTGGGAGGAGGATGAATACAAGAGAGGAATGAGCAGGTAGAAGGATGGGCACACAGCTGAGTATTAGTAGTTCTTGAAAAACTATCTGGGGTTTAAAAAAAACAGTAATAAAACTGAAAATGCAATTTCAGAGAACTTGTGGATTTTCTTCAATATCTACAGAGGAGTTGATTTCTTGAGATCTCAACACACTTTTTGCATATCAGCCATAATTTGCCCCATCAGCATCTACCACTGTGTTCTTTTAAATTACATGACAACCTCTTGGCACCTTTTCATTCTACAAAGGACCTTGGGAATCATATGGGCCGCCAGCACTGTACAGATGGGGAAACTGAGGCATAGAGGGGTAAAGAGCAGGCAAGTGTTCAGCAGGGCCAGGGCTCTCAAGCCAGGCCTGCCTCTGCAGCCTGAGGTAACGCAGGTTAGGCCCAATGGCAGGGGAAGCCACTTCCTCCCAGTGCTGACACCTCATGAGTCCAGGTCGTAGGGGAGAGACCCAAGAAAGGACCAGGACTGAGTCATCCTAACCTGACCAGGCCTGTGGTGCAGGACTTCTGAGCTCTGATAGCCAGCTGTTCCTTCAGTATCCTCTGAGGCAGGAACTATGCTGAGATAAACACAGACAGCCTTGTTGGGCAGGATGAAGGAGTTTGGGGAGACCCAGTCTATCTATGAGCATTGGGTCCAGGCCCATGCAGGAGGGACTGTGCAAGGAACAGGAGGCTGCCTGTCCCTGTTAGGGAATGAAGGAAGATGGGCTCCGGGCACAAGACTTGAGCTCACAAGGGTGGGGACAACTGGTGGACTACAGACTGGGAGTGCTGAGCACTAGAAAAGGACACCCCTGGGAGGGACTCGGTGCCAGTGGCAGAGCAGAGTACAGGCCAAAGGTGGCAGGTGATGCCCAAAGGACCTGATGGCAGTGCTGGCAGTGTGGTCTTTCACTCTGCAGAAGTTGGGGTGGAAGCAGAGAGGAAGTGACAGAGTTCTTTGTTTCAGAAACTTCACCATGACAGCCACCACGGTGAGGGTGGGCAGCCACAGGCCAGAGACAAGGAAGACTACCTGAAAGTACAGAGGAAGCCAGACTGTACCTGGCACCTGGCCTGGCACAAAGGGGCTCAGGAGAGGCGGAGCCAAGAAAGAACGAAAAGGTGCTCTGAACTGTTCTTAAGAAGGTCCAAAAGGACAAGCTGCTCTTCAGGGGAGGGATGCTGCCAAAGTTGGGGTCTTTTTCTAAGCTTAACTTTGTCCTCCAGAAACAAAGCAAAAGACACGCCTTGGCCAGACGTGGAGCGCTGATCCCTTCAGCCCCTGGAAACTCTCGCGGACGCAATCTGCGGCTCACAGCCAAGCAGGACCCTCCCTGGTGTCGCCATCTCTCCCTCTCAGGGTGGTCTTAGCCACCTTGGCTGGCTGGTTTCCGCAAAACTGCCCTGCACTGCCGTCCGGGCGCTTTGCCCCGCGCGCCCTCCATCCTGCACCCCGCGGCCCCACATAGAAGCCTGAGCCGCGTCCCTCGCGCGGAGGACCAGGTCGCCGGGCTTGTGGGGAGCGCGGCGCGCAGGGTGAGGGCTGGCGCCCGACAGCCGCGCTCGCACCCGCCGGGCGGCTCACCTGACTTGCCCATGGCCGGCTGCGCGCTCCTCGGCTTCCGCTGCCCGCGCCGTGCTGTGCTGCGCTCGGTGCCGGCCGGGCTGCTCCCGGCTCGGCGACCAGGGCGGGGCCCGGGGAGAGGGGCGGCACCGCCCCCCGCCTTGCACAGCAGCGCCGCCTGCGGCGGAGGCGCCTAGGGCAGCCGCGGCCGGGCTGGAACCCGCGCCTAGCGGGAAAACTCGTCCACCGCCCCGGGCTCCCGGGTCGCGCCCGGAGGGTGCCCATCGCGGGGGGGAGCTGCGCCTTCCGCAGGGCTCCGGGAGCGCTCGACTGGGCGGACGCGCGGGAATGCCAGGTGGACGCCTCCCGGCTGCGGCCGCCAGGAGTCGGCACCCGACACTCAGGCCCCAGCGTGACCCTTCTCCCCCACGGCGACGCTGCTCCGACGCCTTTCTCCCCCGGACGCCGCCGGGATTGGAGCCCGGCACCGCTCCCCGCCAGCACCAGCCGCCGGGAAGCGTCCTACAGCCCGGCTCCTACCTGCGCTGGACCCTCCGCGCCGCTCAAGTCAGCCAAATCCCCACCCTGAAGTCCGGCCCTGCATATTCCCATCAAAGTGGATTTCTTTTAACTTTTTTTTTTTTCAATTAATGTTGTAACTCAAAAATGAGGCAGGCTTGAAAAGAAAAGAAGCGCTTTATTTTAGCTGGCACCCAGCAGCAGACACCCCAGCAAGATGCTGAGGTGCGTGCCGGGAGGATGAGGGGAGCCGGTATTTAAGCCAATAAACCACAACAGCTGACATCAAGGGTTCATCTAGGGGCTATAGTTGAAAAATTACCTGTTTCTAATGAACAATAACAGGTGCAGTGGTGGGTAGAGTTTGTAGCTGGGAACGAGGGCAAGAACAGGGCATTGGGCCGGAACTAGATTCAGGTGTGCACAAAGGACAGCGTGAGAAAGGCCCAACTGCAGGTTCTCAAGTAGAGAACGGGGCACAGTGGAAAGTTACAGCATTTAGAATGGCGCACACAGAACAAGATGGCGGTGCCTATGTCAGGTTATAACAGTAAATAAAGTTACAGTGGAAGCATACAGAGGTACAAAATTGGAATCAGTTGCACAGGTTATAACAATTAATACGTATATACCACATATAACAAATACCTTCATCATGAGGAGTTGATACACACACACACACTTCACATCTTAGTCCCCTTTACTTCTCCTTCTTCCCTCTTCCCCTGCTCTCCGGATTCCCTTCCCGTTTACAAAAAAAAAAAAAAACCCAAAACTTATCTCCTTGCTTCCTATCATCCATCTTTTTTATGTTTATAGTTTTAATTTTTAAAAAGAGAATAGAAAATGACAAAAAAAAAATTAGCAACGATACAGAAGGGCCAGCCAAAGAACTCATCGGATTAAAGCACCTGCAAGCAGGAACAGGGGCCTGGGAGTTCCATCCCCACGCCTGCCATGCCGGCGCCGCCCCGCCCCTGGGGCGCACTGACGCAGCAATTGAGACTGGGCGTGGTGGCACATGCCTGTAATCCCAGCACTTGGGAGGCTGTAAACAGGAGAATCACTCTGAGTCTGATCTAGTAGTAAGACCCTGAACGCCCTGTAGATCTTTCCCTAAAAAAAAAAAAAAAAAAAAACCAAAACAAAACAAACAAACAAACAAACAAAAAAAAAAACCCAGAAAAAAAGAAAGAAAAAAGAAACGATACAGAATCATCTATCTTTTTTACTTTGCTGTTTAAATTACTCATACTTTGGGGGCCAGGGAGATGGCTCAGCGGAATAAGCGCTTCCCTGGCAAGTGCAAGGACCTGAGTTCAATCCCTGGTTCCGAAAAAAAAAAAAAAATTACTTATACTTTGAGTTTCTCATCTAAGAGAAGCCATATGATATCTAACCTTCTGTGTCTACTTTGCTTAGCGTTCTTTCTTCATCATCCCCAACATGTTCCTGGATTTCTCCCTCTGGACTTTGCTCAGCCTTTGTCCTCAGCCAAGAGTGCTGCCCATCTCTGTGGCCCTGAGCCCTTTCTGCTTGCAGAGGCCGGGACCTTATCTTGCTGGCAGTATACAGTTGATGTGTTAGTTTTCTCTGGCACACTGCAAAAGGGGAGAGGTTTCACCCAGCTCACAGTTTCCAGGGACTGAGTTCATGGTCCACTGGCTGCAAGGCAGGAGTGCCATGGCAGCGGAGCTGTGGAGCAAAGGGGCCTCCACAACCCACCCAGAAGGCACCCAAGCCAGCCAAGTTGACATAATCAAGTTTGACCATCACACTTGGAACTGTGAGATATCCCAATGAAGGCATAGCCTGAGTCACCTGTACCAGATCCCCCAAGGTAAAGGGACTCTGAATGCCTCATTGAGGACTTTCCAGTTCATGGGCCCTGAATTGAATAGACGCACTGATTATGAAGGCAGAAATTGTAATGCCAATGGCCCATAGAACTGCGGCTGGCTGGGCACTGTCTTCTCTATTCCTTCTCTTGTGTCAGACAAATACACTTACGGTATTGCAGGACTTTTCAACAGTGTGAGAGTGGGTCAAATTGATACCCACTGTAACTTAAAAGGCATTTTTAAAAATGCATTTGGTACAGGGTCTCACTACACAGCTCAGATTGGTAGTGATCTTCATCTCAGCCTCCCCAGGGCTGGGATTACAGGCATGCTCCACCATGCCTGGTCTCAGTGGCCAGCTCAGTGGGGCCCATGCAGCATGTGTGGGGGGGATTCAATCCCAGTTCTTGCACTTGCCTAGGCAGGTGCTTCTTCTGCTGAGCTATTTCGCCGGCCATGAAAAGGGACTTGTGATGGTGGGTGGGGATCTAAATCCACTCTGTTCAATGCTCTCTTATGTTTTACTAACAAATCAACATTGAAATGAACAAATGAATGCAGGAAAATTTCATATTGACTGTTGAATCTGTAGAACACTCTTTCTGTATAACCAAAACTAGGCTATAAATGGAGATAGCTGAGCCCAGAGGAAAACCTATCTGGGACCAACGTTCCCATGGGAAGGATCACATTCCTAACCAGTGACTTCTGTGGAGGCCCAGTGGGGTGGGTGCTACAGGCTCTAATTTTCTTAATGATTTATTTATTTTATTTATGAGTTATTTTTTAAAAATGCTAGTCTACAAATGTTTCAGACACATCCTGATATCATTGTATTACTGATTCCCACTTTGGTTGTTTTTTTATTTTTTATTTTTTGCAGTACAGAGGATCGAACTTGGGACCTTGTGCTTGCGAGGCAGGTGCTTATGCTGCTGAGCTATTTCCCTGGCCCCTCACTATGGTTTTGTTTATTTGTATTTTGTCTTTTGGAGACAGAGTTTCACTATGGAGTTCAGGCTGGGCTTGAGCTCATTTTGTAGCCCAGGCTTGTCTTGAACTCATAGCAATATTCCTGCCTCAGCTTCTTCAGTGCTGGGATTACAGATGTGTGCCACCATACTCAGCCCCACTTAATTCTTTGTGGGACAGAATATACTTGGTGTGTCTTTGTGGCCCAGGTTGGTAAATATTCTTTGCACTCTATGTATTCTGTTTTTATTGGGTACAATGTTCTCAAATGTCAATTAGATAGTTTGTTGATGGTATTGCTTGTCTTTTGTATTCTTAATTAATTTTTTATCTGTTCTATCAAAGGAGGGGGATGTTGAGCCCTTCAGCTCTAATTGTGGGTTTGCTTTTTTTTCTCCTTTAGGTTCTATCACTTTTGCTTCATGTACTTTGAAGATATATATTCAGAACATAAACATTTATGATTCTTATAATGTCTTTTTTTATAGTAGGTGAAACCTAGGGACTCAGAAATGTTAGACAAGTGTTCTTCCACTGAATTATACCCCTCCTTTAGCAAACTGTCTCTTTCATTATGGAAGGAGGCAGTTGCTGGTAATATTCCTTTCTTTGTTACTTGGTCATTTGTCCCGTAACTGTTCTTTCAGTGGAAACTGCCAACAGGAGGATAATACACAAGGCTCAAGCTGCTCTAGTTCCAGGAGGTTGTAGGTGTATGGTGAAAAAAAAAAAAAAAAAAGCACAAGTGTTTACTGGGTTTTACATTTTGCTGATACTGTAATATTATTTGTAGTAATATTCTTGTTAGTTACAGAGTAAATTCTCCTCCAGTGCTCCAAATGAAAAAGAAAAACTGGAGTTAGAGGTATGAGTAGAGAGAAGGAAGTTTTGCTCCCGGTTATGTCTAGGGAGCAAAACTATAGCTGTGTCTCCTTCCCGAGACTCCCATCTGAGTCTGGGCAGAGGGCTGACACCAGTAAGAAGATGCACCATCGAATGGCTGAGGAAACACATAATGACTGTTTTTCTTTTCTTTCTTTTGGGGCAGGCCTCATTGTATAGTTCAGGTTGGACTTGAACGCTCTGTGTAGGCCCGGCTGGCCTCGAACTCATGGTGATCACCCTGCCTCAGCTTCCCAAAGTGCAGGGGTTACAGGAATATATCACTACAGCCAGCCTGTAATGACTTCTTACTCCTTAATACTTCCTTGTTTTGAACAGAAGGAAAATTAATGAAAGATCTGTTACCTGTTACTGGTACCTGTATCTTGGAATTCTAAACCTTATATTCATTGATTTGTAAAGATACTCCATTCTGTTATTTTGGGGAAGGAAGATGAGTCTTCCTGATCTTTGACCAAACAAAACAAAACAGACCAGAAAATGGCATGATGTGACAGATGATTAACAAATCTTACATCTTATATAATTGTTTTAAAAATAAAGTATTGAGGGGCCAGGGAGATGGCTTAGTGGAATAAGTGCTTCCCTGGCAAGCACAAAGGACTGAGTTCAATCCCCGGTTCTGCCAATAAATAAATAAATAAATAAATAAATAAATAAAGTATTGAACTTAAGGAATTGAACAAATAAAAAATAAATGGAAGAGCTATAAAGAAATATTGGATGAATGTTGAAGTTTTTAAGGGTAAAATGTATTTACTTTGAGGTGTATAGTAAAACAAATTGAATTTATTATGAAACAAAACCTAGTGTTGGAGGCAGCCTGAGTTAGATAGAAATATTATAGGCAATCAGACAGGGTCAGGCCCTCAAAGGAGACAACAAAGACTAGGC